GAGATAGCCCAGCCCCTCTCAGTTTGGATTTGGTGGAACCCAATGGCATAGCGGAGCTTCACAGAATAGGAAAGGAGGCATAGAGAATGGCGACTCAAGAGACAACTCATAAAAGGGAACCCTTTAGGGTATCTTAATGTGGAAGACAGCCTTAGGTACAAAATTTAAAGAAAGGGAAGGCTACAAAGATTTTGATAAAATATTTAATACAAACTAAAACCCTGAAGTAAGACTTTTGTTTACTTTGGTAGCACTAACTAACAGTAACAACCATAATAAATTGTGCAGATTTGGATTATTGGAAGCTTAATGGAAAATTTACAGTAATTATTGACGCTAACCAGAGTATTCTTGTGAGAACAATTCATGGTACTAGTACCGCCTAGGCTAGTATAAGAAATTGCAGAAGTAAAGGTCCCGCAAATAGCGTAGAGGCCAATTGCTAAAGATAAAACACCGCTACAGATGAGATCACAACGAAATGGATATTTAGACTGTGAACGCATAACTGGACTAAGCGAACCAGGACTGCTATGTCAGGCGCTAAAGATGCTGTCAAAGATTGTGCGCATACTCCTGAACGACCGTAGAAAAAACAAATTGCAATAACAGGCTAATAAGGTGGTGCGTGCATAGTAACATCGTTTGAAGGGAGGCGGTTGGCACAATAGTTACTAGATATTATTATATTAATAAAATTGTGTTAATTACAGTATTTACGGGACAGTCAATTCATAAAGGTTTTACAGAGCTTATTGTTGTATTCTATGTATAATACATCATTGGTATATTGTCATCTGAGAAAATCGTGTTGTGAGTGTAGGTATATTACAATACTTGTTGATGAGGTGGACCAACGACTTCCCGAATCTATGTATCATGGTGAACCCGAACAAATAACCCAATGCTTCGCTCTCAATTGAGAGACGAAGGATGGGAATAGGCTAGGCTTTGGGTTTTGGGCATCATGGGAACGATTTAGGTCCAAACGCCTTTCCTTATGGTAAGCTATATAATTGGCATCAAAAACACTTAATTTCTTATTTGCTTATAAAAGATCAGTTGTCCATTCGTGATTCTTTGTTATCATGTCATAGTCACAATAAAGAACAAGTTCTTAATCATATACATGATATCTACAGAAAACCCAGAGGGATATTACACAATCACCTTTTTCATTAGTTAAAACATTGTGATGTTGGGTCCATGCCAGCCATGGTTAACTTGTGAGCTCAAAAATGGTATTTTCCGTATATTTCCTTCTATTAATAGTTGATGAATGCCACAGATAATGGATACTTGATGGGTTTTCTTTATCACTAAGAAACATAAGTCTGAAGTTTTTAGATAAGATTTTTTAAGGTTGTTATTTTTAACAAATTAAGTTACACAAGACTTAACCCATGCAAGTTAAGATACAAAATAAAAAATTGTTCCGTCTGACAATGGGCCGGGGGTATATTTGTTAAAAAGATCACCAAAAAAAATCGGCAAAAAAATTTTCGCCAAGAAATAATTGGAAATCATACAACGCTAAAAACTTCTTGCCTTCATACATACAACAAGGGTATAGATGAGAGCTCAACAGCAAGATAAGGAATTTTGGACGATAAGAAAAAATACGTAATTACCCTGGAAGTCACTCAGATGCCCTCATGATTTGAATCAAGTAACCTAAAGTATTTAATGGACACGACTTCAAATTGTTGCTAAACAAGTAAAACTTTATCTTAATGAATTCCGTTTACGACCATACAAAAAATTCTTTCCCACATGAACAAAACCATATCAAATACCTTTGGGCTCAATACCTCAAGCATACGCTCACTTATTACTAACTCTACCTCCAAAGAGTATTTTGGTACGTAAAGTCTTATGTTCTACATCCTCTAAAAAGGTTATAAGTCGCACAAATCCAAAAAGCATTGGAACACGCCAAGTAGATTGCTGGTTAAGTAAGTGAGATGGTTTTGTTATGGCTATGAAGAATTCATACAACAGGATACATCGTGTGTGTTTTGAATCCTCATGCAGTCATATGCTATCTTGAGAAACTGAGTTATAATTTCAACACCTCAACGCTGAGTGGTCAAAGGGGAGAAAAGTTCTAAACGAGAATGATACCACTAGATTGGGTTACGAATAGTCATATACTGCAGTGAAAACTCGTGCCGACAATAGAGCCAAGTAGCAGACGACCGAGATCAATCGGAGGATTCGTGCTTCTGACCTAACCAAATGGATACAGTCATTTAACAAGTCAGGATCATGTGAATCCCTCTCAAAACGCGGATAATATCAGAAGGTTTATGACTTTACACTAAGGACTGCCTTTGAATATAACATGCTGGTGAAATAGACTAAGTTTGTGACAGCCCCAAGAAGGTCCGAAAGAATAGAAGATAGAAATGGATCTGGTACACAAGTAAGAACAATCGGGAGTGCCCAACAGAAAAGATGGTATGAACCTGCTTCTCTTAATGAACCTACGTGAAATTTCAGACTCTATCCAATGGGCAACGCTTAAGTCAGGTAGCTAGTATATGAAATACATGCAAAGGCCATTTGCAAATGTCAATAAATATTCGGAGAAGGAATGATTCAAAGAAAACTCGTTGAAGAAGCCCAGAATAGAACAGTGGAGCAAAAGCTATGCAAGACTTTCTGCGATGCAATAGGAGAGTAAAATATGGTATCGTTGGGGAGAATAATCACGGGCAAAGGCCTTTGAAATGTCAATATATTCGGAGGATATTCCAAGAACTGTTGAAGAAGCCCAGAATAGCCAACAGTGGAGACAAGCTATGCAAGTTGAAATGGATGCACTGGAGAAAAATGGTATCTGGGAGAAATACAGGTTACCAGAAGGAAAAAGGCTAGTTGGTTGCAAATGGGTCTTTACAATAAAGCATCGTGCAGATGGAAACATTAAAAGTTATAAAGCTAGACTTATTGCCAAAGGGTACACACAGACTTATGGCATAGATTACTAAGAGACATTCTCTCTTGTGGCCAAGATAGATACGATACGTGTGTTGTTCTCATTAGCTGCAAATCTTGATTGGCCACTACATCAGTTCGATGTGAAAATGCCTTCTTACATGGCGACCTAGAAGAAGAAGTCTATATGGAAGCTCCTCCGGGTTTTACAAAGGGGTTCAAATCTGGGGAAGGATATAGACTGAAAAGGGCATTATATGGGCTCAAATAGTCTCCAAGGGCCTGGTTTGGGAGATTTACTATGACCATGAAAAGATATGGATACTGTCAAAGTAATTCTGACCTTACACTGTTTATGAAGAAGAAAGGAGAGCTGTTAACTTGCCTCATTATATATGTGGATGATATGATTATCACAGGAGTTGACACAGAGGAAATAACATCATTGAGAGAGAGGCTCTTCAAAGAATTTGAAATGAAAGATATTGGGAAACTAAAATATTTTCTAGGCATCGAAGTCTTGAGGTCAAAAGGGGGAATTTTCATCTCACAAAGAAAATATATACTTGACCTTCTCACAGAGGCAGGATTAGTGGATTGCAAGCCGGTTGAAACCACAATGATAGTCAATCATGGGCTCAAGATCATTGAAGGAGCTGAGTCAGCTGATCGTGGCCAGTATCAAAGGCTAGTTGGGAAGCTAATTTATCTCTCACATACTAGACCTGACATTGCTTATGCAGTTGGGGTGGTTAGTCAATTCATGCACAAGTCACAGGTTGACCACATGGAAGCAACACTCAGGATTATCAAATATCTGAAAGGAACACCAGGACGAGGAGTGTTATTCCAGAAGCATGGTCACTTAGAAATACAAGCCTACACTGATGCTGATTGGGCGAGGAATCCGATTGATAGGAGATCGACATCAGGGTACTTCACTCTTGTTAGCGGTAACTTGGTCGCTTGGAGAAGTAAAAAGCAGAAGGTGGTAGCTCTCTCCAATGCTGAGGCAGAGTTTCGAGGGATTGCAGGGGGTTTAGCCAAAGTTCTCTGGTTGAAGAAGTTATTGACAGAGTTAGGTTTCCCTCCAGGAAGGCCCTGCAAACTGCTGTGTGATAATAGAGCGGCTATAAGCATTTCTGAAAATCCAGTACAACATGATAGGACCAAACATGTGGAAGTTGATAGACACTTTGTCAAAGAGAAACTTGAAGATGGAAGCATTTGTTTGCCATTTGTTCGGTTTGAGGAGCAGTTGGCAGATATACTCACCAAAGCAGTTCCAGGAAAGATCTTCAATCAAGCATTAGTCAAGTTGGGTGTCGGAGACCCTACGACCCAACTTGATTTGGCAGATATACCACCAAGCAGTTCAGAAAGAGATTCTACAATCAAGCAATTAGTCAAGTTGGGGTGTCGGGGTGACTCCTACGACACTTGTAGGGGGACGGTGTAAAGAAGTAAGGAATCATGCAGAAATCCAGAAAATAAGAAAGGATTCAAGCAGAATTTAAGGAAAGATCTGGAATTTCAAGCAAATAAGTGAAAGTGAATCCATAGCAATCATAAAATATGAAATTTGGATCAAGCAAATAATGACAAGATGATAAAACGATCAAGCAAATAAGGAAAGGATCAGAATCATAAAAATAAGGAAATTGGATCAAGCAAATAATGAAATGATCAAACGCAATTATTGTAAATATTCTATATATTGTGTATATAAACTCTGTAATTTACAGATTGAAAGGTATGAAAAAAGAATTTTTTTTAACCCTAAAAGCTATCAGTACAGAGTTAAAACTTTCATATGCAGTTAACTTAATTGGTCATTAAAAGAATATCATATTCCATACTTTGTAAAGTAATTAATTATGTTCGCATTTTGTAGGAAATATTTGCCTATACAAAGGAGAGGCTACAAATAAAAATCATTGGATGAATTGATGTGTTATAGATATATTCCTCTTCTATGGTGAAAATAGAAGTCGCTCACAGTCACGTTATGAAAGAAGACAAAAGATGTCATTTACTTGTGTAAGTCAAGCATATGCCCACCAATATCAGTAAGAGTAGCCCTAATTGCTTTTATCTTTAATTATATATCTTCCTTTTCTTTTCTTTACCTAATAGGATACATCGAAGCCCACCAAAGAAAATAAAGCTCTTCCTGATCTGTTTCACACTCACCATTGCTTCTTTCACATAATATAATTTTCTATGTCTGTCTCATCAATAATCATTTCACTTTCTCTCTAATTTCTTCTTCTTCTTCTTCTTTCTTCTCCTTTCCATGGATCGGGTTTTGCTGCTTTTTCTGTCATGTGTGGCTCTGCCACTGGTTTTTACTACAACAACATGGGCAGAAGAGAAGGTTATGAATCCAAAACAGTTGGAAATGTTTGTTGATGAGATTCCAGATGTGCCTAGAATCCATGGTTATGATATTGTTAATGGGGTTCCCAAGCCTAAGCGACTTAGAATTGGCATGTTCAAGATAGAATGGGTAAGTAAGTTTATTAATTTTACTAGTATTTGAATTAATTTATGCTTTTGCATAGTTATTGCTGCAATTTCATTTCTTAATTTTTTGGGTTATTTTATTTATTTTTATTATTATCGATTTCAAATTTTTAATGGCTTCAATTGGAAGCCCTATCATGTGTTTCTTTGCTTTACATAGTTTCATTTATTCCTTCTTTCTTTTTGGTGGCCACCGTTCTAATCTTTCTCTTTATATTAAAATCTAAATAAAGGAATACTTTCCCTCTAAATTTGAACTATCAATTCACCTCTATTACGATATTCATATTAACTATGTTGAATACTTCATAAATACATTTTTTTTTTTATTTCAAAACTTCTGTTAAATTATGCTTTTATATTTTTAAATATATTAGGAAAAATTAAATAAAATTATAGTTAATAATATTATCTTACTCCATGTGAAAATCAAATTTATATTTATTGAACAGAGAGATATATACATTGATAATTCTAACTGTTCCATTTCAAAAAATAATAATAATAGTAATAATAATTCTAACCGTTCCTATTCTAAACAAGAATTATATGTCAATTTTTTATTTTTATTTTTATTTTTATTTTTTTTAATCAACGATGTCTTTGCAATTTCATCGAATGCCCCGAAGGAATAATCCACGGTCTTATTCGGCCATTTTTCAATGAAATAATTAAATATGACCGTCACACACCTTACACCAGTTAATATTTATTTTTTAAGGGAATAAATTATTTGCTTAATTGATACTCTTTAAATATTTAATTTTGGTTGAATATATATATATATATTATTTGTTTGAAGGATCCAAAAAATACTTTCAGGAGAGTTTTTCTTTTTCTTTTTTTTTTTTTTATATCTTATTAATACTACTTTTGACTGTATTTGTTTTGGCAGAAATTCCATCGGGACTTACCGGCAACACCAGTGTTTGCATATGGTGTATCTAAGCACAACGCAACCGTTCCTGGTCCAACAATTGAGGCCATTCATGGCGTTGGCACCTACGTGACGTGGAAAAATCACCTCCCTTCAAAGCACATACTTCCATGGGATCCGACAACCCCAACCGCCATACCTTCCACAAAGAAAGGCATTCCTACGGTGGTGCACCTCCACGGTACTATTGGCGAACCCGAGAGTGATGGGAATGCCCAGTCATGGTTCACTAACCGATTTGCTGAAAAGGGACCCACGTGGACCAAAAAAACATATCATTACCACAACTTTCAACAACCTGGGAACCTTTGGTACCATGATCACGCAATGGGGTTGACTAGAGTCAACCTATTGGCCGGCTTAGTTGGAGCCTACATTATTCGTCATCCTGAAGTTGAGGCCCCACTTAGACTACCTTATGGTGATGAGTTTGATCGGACGTTGATGGTGTTTGATCGAAGCTTCCGTACTAATGGTTCGATATACATGAATTCTACTGGAAACAATCCCTCCATACATCCACAGTGGCAACCCGAGTACTTCGGAGATGTAATTGTGGTCAATGGCAAAGCTTGGCCGCGTATGATTGTACGACGTCGTAAATATAGATTTCGCATTATTAATGCCAGCAATGCAAGATTTTTTAGATTTTTTTTAACCAATGGCTTGAGATTCATCCACGTGGGATCTGACTCTGTGTATCTTGAAAGACCTGTTGTGAGCAATGAAACTCTCCTGGCCCCATCTGAAGTTGCTGATGTGGTTGTTGACTTTTCAAAGTCAAAGTCAGACACTGTTATTCTAGCTAATGATGCACCATATCCATATCCAACGGGGGACCCAGTCAATGAACCAAACGGTAAAGTGATGAAATTCATCATCAAGAAGGATCCAGAAGTTGACACGTGGAGAGTGCCTAAGAAGTTGATTAAATATTCTTCTCCAGAATTATCCAGTACGTCGCAAACACGGTACATTGCTATGTACGAATACACAAGTGCGACTGATGAGCCAACTCATCTTCTCTTGAACGGTAAATCTTATGAGGAACCAGTGACTGAGACACCAAAAGAGGGGACCACAGAGGTGTGGAATGTGATCAATCTAACGGAGGATAATCATCCGTTGCATATTCATCTGGGATTATTTGTAGTGATTGATCAAACGGAGTTGGTTAACTTGGAGGGCTTTAAAGCTTGCATGTTGAAAGTGAACGATGCGATTAAGTGCAAAATAGACAAGTACGCACGTGGTCAGAAGTTAGAGGTGCAGGCCCAAGAGAAGGGGTGGAAGAACGTATATAAGATGATACCCGGATACGTCACCAAGATTTTAGTGAGGTTTGCTTACATACACTCGAATGCATCCTACGTGTTTGATGCAACCGCGGAACCTGGCTACGTCTACCATTGCCATGTAAGTCTTTTTACTTTATCTATCCAGCGATAATAACAACTGTGATGATGGAAAAATGAAAAATAATGAGATCAAGAAATTACAAATACATACATTATTTTTTATCCACCTCAATGATTAAATATTACCAGATTTTCATTTTACAAATCATTCAATTTTTAATATTATCGTTTCTAAAAAAGCTTTTAACATTTATCACCATCTACTTTTTTTTTCTTATCAATAATTACATCATTTTACTTTTTATGATTTTGATGTTTTCAATTTCTTGAAAAAGTTTTTTTTTCCTCCTTTTCTTATCAATGATAATTTTTCTTTTTATCTTTTCTTATCAGTTGAATAGATCATTTTACTTCTATGATTTAGATATTTCATATTTCTTGAAAAAATGATTTGATTCGTGAAATTATTTTAATGATAAATGATTCACTTTTAATCCTTAAATTTTTATTAAAAAATTCAATTTAATTTTAAATATATATATTAATTTAGGATATAAACTTATAATTAATTTATTTTATTTTCGATAAAATAATAAAATATATTACGTTTTTTTTAAGTTTAAAACAATAAAAAATATATTTAAAGAAAACAATTCAGATAGATGTTACTTATTCTGCTTCTTCTTTTTATTTTTTTAAAAATATTTTAAAAGTAAAAAAATTAGTATTTTATTATCACAAAAATGATAAACCGATGACAAATTCAAAGTTGGAAAGCCAAACTAGTCCTTTATCTAAATTTTTTAATAGAATCAAAATCCGGTATCCTAGCCAAACTAGTCCATTTGAATGCGCTAAGTGACAAGTTTTTTTGCTTCTTAGTCACATGCAGAGGCTTCCATGAAATTGAAAATTCCAAAAACTGCAAAACCATTATTAAGTTTGTCTACTTCTAACGGTGTGATGGCTTTTAGATATGGTTGCTGTTTTGTTTTTTTGGAATTGTTCCTCTTCTGAGAAATTCAAATTTATAAAACAAAAATGTTACTTTTCAAATGCAGATTTTAGATCATGAAGATAATGTCATGATGCGACCCTTAAAGTTAATTCGTTGAGGAGGCGAACTGAGAACATTAGAGTTTTAAGAACAAATTAAGGTTGCTTTCTTTCTTTATTTAGTTAATTTTTCTTAATAAGTATAATTTTTAACTTTTAATTATTTTGGCAGGATGGCTATTTATTTTGAAATAACTGCAGAAGTTGAAGGAGGGCCAAAGTGTAAAAATATAGAATTTGTGATAATACCAAGTACAAAATATGGTGTTGATCATATTTTATTATTCAAATAAATTAATAAAAGGTATTATTATTATTATTCAATAAATAATTAATTTCAGTTTTATCTTCCCCTTTTGAATTAAATAAATAAATAAATATATGATAATACGACAACTGAAAATACACAAAATAAGTTAAATATACGATAAAACTACGATAATTGAAGATGTAGAAAATAGTATTTTCATTTTTGTTAAAAAAGAAAAAGCAATGGTAATCTGAAAATGCTGAATTCAGTACCATCATATATGAAGATCAAACAATTATATTTCAATTTAATTAGAATGACAAAACAAAATCTAATATTAATCTTAAAACTTTTATATTATTATTAAAAATTTTTAAAATTCTTTGTGAAGGAAATAAAAAAATAAATTATATTGTAGAAATTTCATTCTATTCCTAATTTCGTATTCCTAATACTCAAAAAAAAATTTTCCTATTCCTGGACCAAATTCGGATCAGAAATTTCTAAAGACAGGCCATAGCCCATGCGGCCGAGATGGCTCACAAACTTAGAAGGGAAAGACCAATGCCTAGAGTCTCATCCACTGGGCCACGTCCTTGGATAGCGGCAAAATCGTCAAACGGCAAAAACATTTTCTGTTCACTGGGGAAAGCTAAAATCAACACTCACGGCCAAGGCAACGAGCATCCTCGCCTGAAAATGGCAATAACAACGTTCCATCATCATCGTCCATTCCCTCTATTAACAACCAAATCACAACCGTCCGTTCGACCAAAGTTTTCTTGTTCCGCTCTTCACTACTCGAGCAAGGTCAGTTCAGTTGCTTGAGAATCTCTCCTTTTTTAATACATATATGATATCACAATTGTATCACTGTAAATTAGAAATTAAGGTGTTTTTGGGGAGGGAATCAGTGCAGGAGGGAGTATACAAGCGTAATGATAGTCCCGACTGGAGTGGGGGCCGTCATTGGTGGATTCGCCGGTGATGCTTTACCTGTTGCTCGTGCTTTGTCATCCGTCGTAGATTGCCTTATCACACATCCTAATGTACGTTCTTCTTTTTCATTGGAATTATGCAATTTGCATTTTGAGCAATCATTACATTTTTTACTTTGCAAATAAACACATTACAGGTGCTTAATGCTGCCATGCTATATTGGCCTATGTCGAACGTGTTATATGTTGAAGGTTATGCTCTTGACCGTTTTGCGCAAGGTTTATGGGCTCTTCAACCTGTTCACCAAAATAAGGTGTCTTGAATTTGCTTGAATTTGATTTATCTGGTAGATATCGTTTAGTAGTGTTAATTGTGGTCGTGGGGCAAATTGCTGACTTCGTTATCTTTCATTGGACATGTGATGCCAAAGTAGGTAGGCTTGGTTCTTGACAAGGGAATAGAGGAGGAGCTTCGAATTCGGCATTTGCAAGTTGCTGATGCGACTAGAGCTTCCCTTGGATTGCCTGTTGTTGAGTATATTATAACTGATACCCCATTAGAGGTACCATTTTTTTTCAGCTGTATCAGAAAGATTTTTTTTTTTTTCCTTTTCATTTTAAATTGCTCTCTTGGTTCCAAGGGATTACAAATATTTTTTCTTTTGAACACTTTAATTATACAGACATGCCATTGAAATTGTATTGCACAATCAAATTCTAAGGCTCTTTCCTATTCTAAAATTAGGGGTACCATTTTTTGGATTTGTATTAGTGAACATTTGAGATATTATTTTATTCGGTTGGTGACACTCAAAATATTTATGCATATAGTATATGCGCATGTTTTCTGTCTATTTTATGCATTAACAGCAGAAGGGCAACTCTAACCTTTGTCAATACTCAAAAGATTTTGCTTGGACAAGTCCGTTTATGTTTAGATAATTAATCTTCGAAATTATATGCTACCTAGAAAAGGGAATTAATATTTTGACCAATATGATTGCAAGAGCTTAAAGCTCATTAACTAATGCAGGTGGAAAAATGGGTTGATCCCAAGAGTGGTCAATCAACTGGCAGGATTAAGAATCCTAGTTCACTGTTAAGGGCTGTGCAGACTTTAGTTGTCCAATCTCAAGTGAATGCCATTGCTGTTGTTGGACGCTTTCCAGATGATGATATTGACGACATTGATGATTATCGTCAGGGAATGGTATGACAACCATGTTTTTGATGTTAGCCTCCTGCTACAACTAATTTTTGGATGTATTGAGCGTATGAAAGGAAAGCATTCCAAAAAATTTGATAGTGTCCTTGGAAAACCTTTTCAGCTTTTTTTATTAAGTTTCTGCGTGCCAAGTATTTTCAAAGTATTATTAACACATCTGATCTAACACTTGCTCTTATACTCTGAAAACAAGAAGTTTCATGTATTCTGTCTTGCAGTTTTTATTCTGAATATGCTTTTAGCAACAGATTTATATTTTTTTCTTATTTAGTAAAGAAAAAAGCTTTGAGATCAAAATTTTTGTTGTCATTCACCTTATGTTTTTTTTTTTTAATTTATTTTTTTCTTCTTTTTGGCTGCAGGGAATAGACGTATTGGCAGGAGTAGAAGCAGTTATAAGTCATCTCGTGGTCAAGGAATTCCAGATTCCTTGTGCACATGCTCCTGCGATGCAACCACTTCCCTTGACCCCATCTCTTTGTCCCAAATCAGCTGCTGAGGAGGTTTGTGAACTTGAATAAAACTGTGTTGCTGTGACTGAGTGCATCAATCTTAATTTTGTATTTAAACATTTAGGCTGCTACTGGAGGTGAGTGATCATGGGCAATGGGAGGCCAGTATAGAATCAAATAGACAGAGAATACGTTTAGCCAATGTTATGTGTTTAATTAAGAAACAAGGGGATGGGCTGTGGGCCTCCAAATTGTTCTTCTGGGAAAGCAAATCCTGGCTGAGGGATTGAGAAATTGTTAATTTTGTTGCAGTTGCTGAATATAGAAGCAAACCCTTTGTCGAAAATAGATCTTGATCTCTTCAAACTGTTGTAAGTGTCTATTTATTTTTCTCATTGCATTTACATGTGATTGTCTTACAACAGATTAGTATTTTAGTCAATATTATGATATAATGATCAGCAACCTCATTCAACCATGCGAACACCCTCATCTTCCTGGCAACTTTAACTGATGAACTGATGAAGTCTGATTAGAATCATAGAACTCCCTAGTAAAATTAGGAAAGCAAATTTGAAGTTTACACCTATAATTTTACAAGTGGAATGGACCAAAGATAACGTAATCTTCTCATGTGTTTATATGAATTTCTATTATCTAATCTGTTGCAGTTTGCATTTTTATTTTTAATCTCTGGATCTCATATGTGCACTTATGTTCAATGCCCTTTTCAACAGATAGGATACACTTTCTTGCCCTGTGTACTTGCTGGGCTGAGTAGAGCACCGCAATATTTGGTGAACAACTCCCAGTTCTCAGAAAAAGGTTGCCTATTAGCTTCTGATGTTGATAGTGTTGTTCTTCCAGTAGATGCTTGTGGTGGAGATGGTGCTCTTGCTTTTGCAAGAAGTAAACAACACAAGGTAGAAATTCAAAAGCATGAGCACATCAGATTTCCCTTTCATTATATAGAAAATTTTAATTCTTGTATAAGACTGTAAGGTAGAGCCCAATAATTAGCATTTTGGCTACTTACCACCTTTTCTGCCTTACTGATTGTTTTTCTTTTTCAGCCACTTATAATTACCGTAGAGGAAAACGTAACAGTTCTCAATAGTACACCAGATAAACTTGGGATCGAAGCGGTATGGATTATATCATTTGAACAATCATATTTCTTTTTTGCTCATGTTTGTTTTGGAGTTGCTAGATTTTTATGGCCTTGAGAATTAATTTAACTTCTTTGTGGTCAGTAGTATTTTCTTCGCTGGTGTGTATGCTAAGATACAGGAAATTGATGCCCAAACATTTGTGCTTTACAAGTATTTTTATCTTTCTCTGGGAACCTCATAACTTTATTTGAAAATGCTGCTCTGCCTACTTTTCGGAATGAATTTGGCCATGGATTAGGCATATTTGATGAAAAAAGTGGAAGTAGTACTTGTACAGCCTTTATTATCTGTTTGCCAATTTCTTATTTTCCCCACCTTTACCTTCCAGCGTATACTTGCTTAAACAAACAAACAAGTAACAGAATTAACAGACTCCTTTATTCTGTCTCTTTTGCCTAGTTGTGTTATCTCTCGAAGGAGAGGTGCCAGGTGCTAGTGTTAATTAGACATTTAGCCTTTTTTGTGAATGACAACGTATTAACTTCCAATTTTCCCAGTTGTAAAGCGAGTTACCATGTATGGGTCTGCTATGTTGGCTTGCTTCCTTGTTAAAGCAGGCCACGCCTGCTTTCTTTCTTGAATGGGCCTATCTTCGACAAGTATTATGTGTCATGCTTGGATTACTTTACTATTATACAGTATCTTACTTTAGATCCCAAATTGTAGGGATAAATTGGAAATGTTTATTGAGGTTGCAATTATGTCCAATGGTCCACTTGCACCTAATAAACATCTAACATTACTGCGTTGATTATTGGTCTGTCATTTACAATTGGGAATTTTATTAATCAGATCGTCAAGAAATTATGATTTATTTCAAAACTAAGCAAAAGTGGATTATTTTGCAGGTCACAGTTTCAAACTACTGGGAAGCAATTGGCATTATTGCAGCTCATAAGGCAGGAATAGATCCACATTCTCTCCGAAGAAACAGAATTGGCAACCTTCAATGCACTTCTGTTGCGCCAGCTAATGGGTTTGTAGTTTCATCCACAACATGATTTAAGAAGTCTGCCATTGATTTGTTTCTTGCTAAATTCCATATCTAATGCTCATCATTCTGCACACCAGGGCATAGTATAGTGATAAGTACATATACGACTTGACGATATATATATATTCGAATCCTCTTCCCCAATATTCCAAAGAAAAAAAAAAAAGCTCACCTTTCTAGAATCATGACAGCTATAGTTCAGAGCACTAAATGAAAAGTTTTGAGCATTGTTCTTTCGATCAACAATAAAGTAAACGTATCAATGCATCAATATGTTATTTATTTATTATTATTATGATTATAAATTCACCAGGTTCCAACTAGGGATTTGAACTTCTAACTGCATAGTTTTAGATTCATTACCATTTAAGCCTAAGCTCATATTTAGTTAGAATTTATCAGATTTTGAGTTCAAACTTACTTTTTTCTTGGTCATGATTTTTTTTTTTTTGGAAAAGAAAGTAGAAAATTTTCGTAGATCATGCTATGGTATGATGTTAGAAGTTGTTGAATAGCATTATTAACAGGAACA